GCTATTCCACTTGCCAATTTTGGTTGTGGTGGTTGTTGTACTAAGGTTTGAACCCAGGGGCATTCTACCACTGAACCACATCCCCATCTAGTTTGTTTTGTTTTTTGGAACCAAGGATTGAACCCACCGGCCCTTTACCACTGAGCCACATCCCCAGCTCTTTTTATTTTTTATTTTGAGACAGGGCTTCATTAAGTTTCCTAGGGCCTCACAAAATTCCTGCGGCTAGCCATAAACTTGAGATCCTTCTGCCTCAGCCTCTTGAGTCACTGGAATTACAGGCGTGTGCCACTTTTCCTGTCATCTTTGTTCCTTTGATAATTGCCTTTGGGACCCCTGTTTTAATTTTTGTTCCTCATCCCATTCTGAGGGGAAAGGGCGATGTTGGTCTTCCGTTGCTCTTAGATGGCTCCTGGAGTCCCTACTTCTGCATACTGGGACCTCTGCAAGTCTGAATGGTGAGGTAGGTGAGGGGCAGCAGCATGTGGGATGATAGCAGGGCAGCCTGCTCAGCTTCTCCATTGAGACCTGGACAGGCCTGGAGACAGACTGGGTAAGGCCCCATAGGGAGGTGGAGGTGGTAGAAGGTCCTCCAAGTGTGAAACATGCTGAGTGTCCTTACTGGGAACAAAGGGCGGCCTGTGACTGAAGGGAAGAGGGCAGTAACAGCTTCCTGGAGAAGGGGCTGGCAAGGCTAAGGAGCACCAGTGCTGCTGATTCAGGCTGGCCACACTTGCCCTGTGCCATGCTGTCGCTGTGCTCAGTGAGCAAGGTGGATTCCATCCAGGCTTTTGGTCCACTGCAGCCTAAAGGGGACAGGTGGGGAAAGGAGAGACTACAAATGTGACAAGGTCTTCCAAAGACCTTGGCAAATGAAGGGTGAGCAACTGCTCATCACGGAGTCCCATCATCTTGAAGATGCTGTGATTCTTTTTGCATTTTCTGAGGGGCCTGGAGTCACAGGAGTCTCCTGGTGCCCTCCTCCCCTCCGCCTCCTTCCAGAGTCCCCAGCTCTTTGGCCTCCTAGTTGTGTGACTTGAGACCCGATTCTGACCTCTCTGGGAAACTGGCAATGAAGCCAGCCCTGTCTTCCTCCAGAGGGCTGTTGCAGGGAGCCTCTTTGTGAACTCCAAGTTAATACACACATAAAGGATCATCATTAAAAGTGACAAGTCCCCCAATGATTAAAGCATTTCTTTAGGGGAAAAAAAATAGCACTGGGTCTTAAGCGGGACCCCCACGGGAGTGAGGAGGGAGCTCCTGCATCTCCGTGGGGAGAGGTTAAGTCTTCTAAGCTCCCATTAGAGTTGCAGTTAATGGAGATCAAGCACTGGGGCTGTGGCCGCCGTGGTTTTTCCCTCTCTAATTGTATTCACCTCGAAACCACAAGTAGCAGCAGGTCCCAGCGGTCATTATTTCATTTGAAAAACTAATTGAAAGTTAAGAGAGTCCCAGGTTTTTGCTTTTGTGGAACAGGCCAGGGAAAGATATGAGCAGGTGGGCCTGGGAGGAGAGGGGTCCCGGGCTGGCCGTCATTCTCCCATTCAGCTAGTCTCGGCCTTTGTTCTCCTTGGCAGGTTCCAGGCCTGCCGCCTCTCTTGGTTGAAGTGGACCGCCTGCCCTCAATGGCCAGCCTCCTCCTCCGGAGGGGACTTTTGTTTCCCATTGTTCTTATTGTCTGCTCAGACGAGCTGCCCTCCTGAGTGGCCCCCTGCTGAGCATTTCCCACGCTTCACATTCTTTCCCAGGGACAGCAGGTGGTCTGAACCCTGTGCTCTGCTCTCTGTGTTCTGGTGCTGGGAGACAGGCGACCTGGCTTCCAGCCCTTCAGGACTTGGGTCAAACCCTTCCCTTCCCTAGTGACCAGGTCCTAGGCTGGCAAACGAAGGGTGAGCGACTACTCATCACTGAGTCCCATCAACTTGAAGATGCTGTGATTCTTTTTGCACTTGTAATCAAGACACATCCCATCATCCAGAATTCACAGTTATTGGTTTTTAAAGGTTTGATTTATTTGCAGTAAGATGCTTAATCTTAAACTCAATGAATTTTTATATTTAACACTGGGATAACTGTTACCCAAATCAAAATATGGCCACCTCCCCAGCCCTCTTTTGTATTTTATTTAGAGACAGGGTCTCACTGAGTTGCTTAGCACCTCACTGATGCTGAGGCTGGCTTTGAAGTGATCCTCCTGTCTCAGCCTCCTGAGCCACTGAGATTATAAGTATGCGCTACTACGCCCAGAAAAATATAGAACATTTTATATCACACTGGAAAAAACACAGATTTTGAGGGCAAGTGATGTGTGCAGATATGTGGCCCAGATGAAATGGTTCATGAGTAGAAAAAGCTGGGTAACCACTAACATGGGGACCTCTGGTTAGTTGTGGCTTCAGTATGAGCATCTTTGGTAGTTATACTTCTTAAAAAATCATCTCTGCTAGAGATGGCAATAAGCCACGTAGGTGATGGTACATATTGTAATACCACAACAAAAAAATAAAAATGAGGGGCAGGTAGTAGAGCTCGGTGGGAGAGCACTTGCTTAGCATGTATGAGACCCTAGGTTTATTCTCAGTGCTGCCAAGATAAATAACACCAGACAAACTAATTTTAATATATTTTATTTGACTCAACACATCCAAAGTATTATTTTAATATGTGATCAATGTAAAAATATTAAGATATTTGCACTATTCTTCCAGACTAAGTCTTTGAAATCCTGTGTTTATTTTACACTTAAAGCACATCTCAGTTTGTTAGCAATATTTCTTTTTAAAATATTTTTATTAGTTGTTGATGAAATTAATTTTATTTTATTATTTATTTGTAGGTGGTACTGAGAATCTAACCCAGTGTCTCACATATGCTAGGCAAGAGCTCTACCACTGAGCCACAGCCCCAGCCCTGGTAGCAACATTTCAAGGGTTCGATGGCCACATGTGTATAATGGCCACTGTGTTGGAAAGCCAGGATTCCCAGCTCTGCTTCCTCTTCTCCCATTTTCTCTTGAACCCACTCAAATAAGACTTTGACCTCCACTCCTGAGCCATAGTCCCAGTCCCCTCCCTTCTTCTTGTCTTCAGTTGGTCTCTGAGAGTGACTTTAAACATCAGTCAGATTATATTCTTCTGCTTAACTCCATGAGGACTTCCATGTCACCAAGGGTGAGATCCGAGTCCCCACAATGACCATATTAAACAAATGTTTGGGAGGCCATTGTGTAGGGCTGCACTAGGCTCCAACAGATCAGACCAAACCAGAACAGTAATCAAACAACTTTTCAATGGGGTGGTTTTCCAAAACTCAGGAGATTCACAGTAAGCAATCTAAGGGGCCTGGTCAACTTGAGCTGGCATAAGGAAGTCCCCTCTGCTTCAACCTTATAAAGAAAGTATCTCTGAACGACCAGCATGCTTTTTGTTCCATTTTTGTTTTTTCAGCCCATTTGCCCTACAATGCCACTGCTACCCAGTTCATTGGAGGTCCTTGCAGGATGCGGCACAGTGAGAAATCGACTTTGGAGCTCTACAACTCGATTTGGTAACATTGTGTCTTGAACCCCTCCACAGGTTCCCATGAGCTGCCCCCCACTCCCTCAGCCTCCCTTCCTCTCACCCACACCTTGGCTCTGCTCTAGCCAGGCACACTGACCTTGATATTCCTCCTTCCATGATCTTGTCTCAGCGCCTTTGTGAGGACTTTTCACCCTACCTAGATATTCACAAAGCCAACCACCCCCACTCCTCTGGGTCTTGACTCAAATGTCAAACCATCAGTGAGGCCTTCACATGTACACAGTGGAGATAAACTAACACCCTCCAACACTCCCATCCCATTCAAAGCTTGTCCTTTGTACATACCATTGGGTGTTTACTTGTTTTTGTTACCCTCTCCCATTAGAATAACGGTCTGTGAGATCAGGGACTTTGCTCATTAGTGTTTCCTCAATGCCTAGAAGAGGACCACCGTGTATGCATAAATATTTATTTTTTATTTTTTGGTACTGGAGGTTGAACTCAGGGTCACTTTACCACTGACCTAAATCCCCAGCCCTTTTTATTTTGAGACAGAGCCTTACTAAATTGCTTAGGGCCTCACTGAGTTGCTAAGGCTGGCCTTGAACTTGTGATCTGCCTGTCTCAGCCTCTGCAGTTGCTGGGATTACAGATACACACCATCATGCCTGGCTTATAAATATTTGTTGAATGAATAAAAGGATGAGCCAGTCACCAGTGGATGAAGGGTGACTTGACACAGGGCAGAGACCTATGGCTGAGAGCCTGGTTCTGGGCCAGGCAGCCTGGGTTTGCATCCCTTCTCTCTCACTTGCCAGAGGAGACCATGTGCAGTTAGGTTAACCTTTCAGCACCTCAGTTCCTTGTCTAAGAATCACAGTACTTGCCAGCTTGCTGAGAGGCTGTGTGAGGAGGAGAGGTTCTGTGGTTCTGTTCATGAAGCTGCTCAGCAGGCCCTCTATGTTTGGTAAATGTTAGATTTTTCTTTTCTTTATATATATATATTTTTTTTTCAGTTGTCAATGAACTTTTATTTTATTTATTTATATGCTGTGCTGAGAATCAAACCCAGTGCCTCACACATGCTAGGCAAATGCTTTACCACTGAGTCACAAACCCAACCCAGGTTTTTCTTTTCTTTCGTTCTTTCTTTTCTTCTTCTTCTTCTTCTTCTTCTTCTTCTTCTTCTTCTTCTTCTTCT